TTCTGCAACAGCATCCGCAAACAGGCTTTAGCTTTGCCTGACGGAGAGGCTGATGCTGGCTCTGAAACTTATTGATGTTGGACCTAAAGCCGATGGTTCAGGTGTAGAAATTAATGTTAATGCAACACCCTTTCTTCCAGATTTCTCTTGGTGCTCCAGTTGCAAGATTTTTTCTTTTCTTACAGCCTAAAGAGATATTGCAATCGAGTTTTATCTGTGAAACCTTTTTAGTTTTGTTAACAGGGACTATCTTTAGGTTTTGGGACAGTCAATGACCATATGTATGGATGACAAAAAGTCAGAATCCATTAGATTCTTTGAAAATCAACTGAGTAAATAAATGTGATGTGCCTGCATAATATTTCCCATGAATATTATACAATAAACTATACATAATCTCTTAATAAGCTGTACTTCTTATATAAATGTAGGTGACCACAATTCACGGATACCGCATAATCACACTGCCAACGTGAGGTTTCCACAAACATTGTGTGTGTTTGTGTTTAGGGCTTCAATTCTCCTTCATGATGCTGCAGCGCGTTTACTCTGTATCATAATAATCTGCTGCCTCTTACTCGCTTGTCTGGAGCTGGAATAAAAGGCCATTTTGTAAAACGTTACTAATTGGCACTGACATGGAGCATTTATTTGGCATACATGTAAATGCCCTCACATACAAGTATAATGAGTTGCAAATAATGATCTGTGTATCGCAGTGTCAAGAATTATGTGTTATATAAGAGCATTATAACTAGACAGGGGAGACTCAACTCTAAAGTGATATTTGATGTTATATAGTGAACAGAAAATGCTTACAGATAGTGACATAGCCATGGCCAGTTGCAGTTCTTCTTCCTCCTCCAACCAGAAGCATGTTTTCCTCTCTCCTTCAGCCTCCTCCTTCTCAAGGCGGAGCTTTTTCCCATCAAGACCTTCAAGTTCCTCATGGCAGTAAGCTTCCTCACATACATACACACACATGCACACACGCACAAACACACATATACATACACGCACAAATCATACATTAAAAAAGAAGAAAATCACGTACCGCTTCGAGCAGGTCGAGCAGCGCGAAGTTAGGCTTCAGCGTCCGGAACTGGTCGCGGTCCTGCCGGCAAGAAGGGCACTGGAACACACTCTTGCGGTTCTCCGTCCCTTGAAGGAAAGATTTTCATTGCCTTTCCATTTACTCATTAAGCCTTCTCTAAATGTATCTATTCATTTCACTTATTTATCTACATTTTTCTAATTTATTATTTCTAAGACATTCTTATCTATTCTATCTACGTATGTATCTATTTATTCATCTACTTATTCATTTATTCATTCATTTAAACGTTATTTCACATACAAACACATATATGTATATATTTTACCCTGTCACCCGTTGTATCTTCTCTTACAGCAACATATTAATTATTGCAGAAATAAAACAAACAAAAAAACGAGGCACCAAGACACTGAAAACAAAGACACAACGCAACGCCAAACAAAAAATAAATAAATAAATAATAAAAACAAAATAAAACAAAGAAGCACAAACCAGGAAAGAAACCAGACATTAAGCCAAACACAGATTTCACAGAAAGACAAACAACAGAAACCTTACTAAGGCATTCCTCGCAGAAGGTGTGGCCGCAGCTGGAGAAGATAAGCGGACGACGATCGTGCGCGTTGTAGGTCGACCTGCAGACTGCACAGGTTAGCCCTGAGGGAGCCTGCAAAACACGGTGTCCTGTATATTAGCCCACAGTTTCTGACTGGTCTCATTTCGCTCTGTTAATTAACTGTTTCTCTTTCTATACTTTACATACTTCCATATTCATAATACACACACACGCACACACATACACACTCATATATATATATATATATATATATATATATATATATATATATATATATATATATATGAGCTACTGGACAGAAAGTGGTTGTGACCGATATAATTATCATTATCCTTTCGAGCAATAAGTTATGGCCCTGCAATACATCCCCACGAGCGGCTGGACCATCGATTATTATCAAGGGGGCAAGAACGTGGCGTCACCAAGCAAACGTCGCAACTGAACCGGCTGGGATAATGTGTATAATAATCTATAGCGCTGCCAGTCTGGAAACATGACGCGGTTCGCCTATTAACGCGGTAGACTGGCTGGGCGCCACAGGCAGGTCAATCTGTCAGGGGGAACTGCAGCCGAAAGGAGTCTCCGCAAGACGAGGCCTCTGGGGGTGATCTCGTGCGTTCCCAAAGGTGGGAAGCTACGGACGTGCCCGACCTCGGCTCATCCTCAATACGACCGCGCCGTATTAAGGATGAGCCCAAAGGGGCGAGGCCCTTGAGGCGGAGTCGACGATCGTTGATGGCCCTTGCCTCTGTCGGGTGGAGCTCGCATGCAGTTATCAGAGCGCCTTAAGTCGCCTCATATTTCGTCTGATTTTGTGCGTTTCAGGCGAGGGTCTTTTAATACATGCCGTGAACTTTATCCTTTCAGATCTCCATTAATGAAAAAAAACATTCATCTTAGCTAAAGACTAGAGAGTGGTTGACAGCGGAAGCACACACGAGAAGGCTAATTCTCAGCCATTACTACATAATGGAGGGATTTAAAGTGACGTGACTTTAGTTGTCATGAGCTTGTGAAAAGCATTTCCCTATATGGCTCGATGCAGGACAAGATCGAAATGGTCTTTAAGGTCTTTTATAGGATTATTATGCAGTAATGAAGGCAAGCAGGTGGAAGGCGGTCGGATTTGTAGCAACAGTTTTGATGTTTCGCGGGACATTATCTTATCTACGCCATCGAATGAACTGGTAAAGGTTTGTAAAATTATAATTGTCAGGCATTAATCAGTTCTAATGGCTTTCGGTTTACTATCACAAACATTTTTTTATGTCAGTTTTTTTTTATTATTATTAAATAGCTATTTGAAGTTAGAACTTTTTATAAGCTAAAAAGGAAAAGAAACACATGGGTATGTGCCGTCGAGGGCTCAGGACAGTTACTGTTGTCGAACTGGTTTCATTCTGTTCTGAAGCACTGAAAAACGTATTTTTGTTGTATTTCTTCCTATTATGAGAAAAAAAAATAAGCAAAAGTTAAAACGATAGAATAAGTGAATTCTTCAAATTTTATTTTCGATCAGCTAATGCCCCCAAAAAGATTAAACGAGATATTTGCATATCGTTCACAGATTTCTCCCATTCGCCATTTTTTATTTATTTCCAAAGAAAAAAAATACGTACAACGATACTATTGCTACCTTTTAAACCTACAAAGATGCAAACCATATGGAAGTTGCTATAAATGTTTCTAAATGAACATTACCTGGTTTTCAGAGCTGTTCTCATATGCTGATCTGATGAAATAAATTTCCCTATGTATTGTACATGCAGTACATGTGCCTGCTTGATTCTTTAATTGTATTTGAGATATATACCGTATACCTATAAACCAACACAAAGAAAAGGACAAGAGGACAGAATTAGACGAAAAAACAAACACAAAACGCCGCCTTGCCGTGCACACGCGCGCCTGAGTCCTGGCGGAGGCCTCCTTGACCCAAGACGTCGCGAATGCTCTCTTGCAGGTCTCGCGAAGTCCCTGACGGCAGGCTATCTAGCGCTGTCAGCAGTCTATCAGCAGCTCGAGGGTTTTGTTCAATTTTTCTTGGCTCTGCAAAACAACGAAGGTAGATTTAGCGACTGGAGATGAATTCGCAGCTATTATTTAAAGAAAAATTGAAAGGAAAATGGTCTGCAGCACAAGGTAGTGAAGGAGGAAGGGGAAGAGGAGGAACGGAGGAGGAGGAGGAGGAGGATGTGGAGGAGGAAAAAGTGGGGAGGAGGAGCTGGAAAATCAGAAAACGAAGAAAACAAAAAGAAGGAGGAGGCGAGAGAACAAAATACAAATATACGTAAAAAGAAAACAGGGAAAAGTATATTCCTTTTACCTATGTCCTGCGTAAACTTTCTTTTTGACAATAATTAATATAAATCATTATTGTCTCACCTCAACAAGGCATTGATGGTCTCTGAAGTCCGCTCTTGTTCCTTCCGAAGGGCGCACATGTCCTGTTAAGTGAAGTACATTCTGTTATATAAACTCAATCGCACAATTACTGACATGTATATTCATGTATATGTATGTGTGTGTGTGTGTGATATGTATTACATGCCCTCTCTTTCTCTCTCCTCATCTCTCTCGTTCTCTTTCCCCCTCTCCATTCCCCTTTCTCTCTCTCTCTCTCTCTCTCTTAACTCTCCCTCTTTTCTACTATCTCTCTCATTCTCATTCTCTTTCTCATTCACTCATTCACTCACTCAATGACTCCCTCCCTTCCTCCCTCCTTTCTTCCCAGCTTCTCCCTCTCTCTTTCTTTCATCCTTCTCTTCTCACCCTAGCTCGTTATTCCTTCCCTTCTTCCCTTTATTCCTCCTACCCTTCCATTTAACCTCCCTTCCTCCCTCCCTCCCTCCTCCCTCGCTCTATCTCTTCTCTCCTTGCTCTCCCTTCCGCCTTTCCTTCCTCCGTCCCATCTCTCCTTCTTCCCTCCCTCCTTTACTCTCTACTACCCTTTCTCCCTCCCTCCTTTACTCCTTCCGTCCATCCATTCTCGTTCCCCTTCCCTTCCTTCCTCTATTTCTTTCCTTCCTCTCCCTCTCCTTCCCTCCCCCTATCTTTCCTTACCCTTTCTTCCTCGCTTTACCTCCCTCCCTTCATTCTTTTGCCTCTTCCTTTCCTTTCCCTCGCCTTTTTCCCTTCCTCTCTCCCTCCCCCTACCCTTCCCTTCCCTTCCCTCCCTCCATCCACCCTTCCCTCTCCATCCATCCATTTCTTTCCCTTTCCGTCCTTCCTCCATTTCTCTTCCTTCTCATACCTTTCCCTTCTTCCTCCATTTCTCTCCCTTCTCATACCTTTCCCTTCTTCCTCCTTCCCTCCCTTCCCCTCCTCCTCCAATCCCCTTTCCCCCTCCTTCCCTCTATCCAATCATCCATCCCTCTTTCCCTTCCCTTCTGCCCTCCCTCTCCCTTTCCATCTCTTTTCCTTTTTCTCCACTCTTCCCTCCCTGCATCTCCTCCCCGTCCTTTCCTCCTCTCTTCTCTCCCCCTATTCGTGCTTTCTCTTCCTTCCTTACTTACTCCATTTTCCCTCCCTCTCTCCCCCTTCCCTTCCCTTCCCTCCTTCTCCTTCATCCATTTTTCTCTTTCCACTAACCTGTGCAAGTTTCTCGTGTTCCTCTTCCTCCTTTCCGCCTTTCTCCTTGAAGGCTCTGATGATATTGGGCGTTTCTGAATCACAGTTAGAACTTCTTTCACAGCATTCACGATCACGCAAGGTATTATGACGGACATCTAAAATAAAAATGAAATAAAGATATAAGGTAATAAGGTAAATAAGTCAATAAACGATTATATTCAACGTATTATATTTTTTTCTTTACTTTTCTTTTTAAATTTACTATTACTTTAGAGCGAAAGAAGCGTTTCAGAATTAGAGACATGGAGGAAATAGGAAATAGATAATGATTACACACACACACACACACACACACACACACACACACACACACACACACACACACACACACACACACACACACACACACACACACACACACATATATATATATATATATATATATATATAGAGAGAGAGAGAGAGAGAGAGAGAGAGAGAGAGAGAGAGAGAGAGAGAGAGAGAGAGAGAGAGAGAGAGAGAGAGAGAGAGAGAGAGAGACTCGCTGTCCGATGTCTAATTAGCGTTCGAAACTTTCCTTCCAACAAGTTGTACAAGAGTTTCGACCGTTCGGAACCCTACTTTGTCGTCCTGGACCTCTTGTTCCTCTCGTCACAACAGCGTTTCTATATAAACATTAAAAGTTGCGGGTAACCAGAAATTAATGGTAATCGTTGTTATCAAAAGTTATTTTAGTGTTTTAGTGTTGGAGAGAGGCTCTGGGATCACAGTGACTATAAACCTATGCAGTGTAGAAAATAAAGACTGGTACGATAATGCATTGTGGGTAATGACGGCCCCGGAGAGTTCCGGCCGCGGCCTCTTCGTCCTGCTCGTTCTGACAGGTTGTCCGGACGAGCAAGGCAAGGTGTTCTGAACGCAGCAGTGTAGCGGTGTAATATATGAAGTGGGAGGCGATGTCCCACTCCCTCCACTATTATTACTTGTAGTTTGGTAGAGCGTGGTCGAGCGGTAAGGCAGTAGTAACTAAGGTGCTGACGTACTGGAGTACTCTGAAGATGTTGGTGCAGTTAAACTTGTCGCAGTTTTCTTGTCTTTATTCTGGGTAACTGGTACAGAGGGCAAGGCAGGTGCCCAGGGAGGAGCGCGTCCTGCCAAGCCCACGAGGGCGACCGGTCTAAGAGTATGGCACAGGAATTGCCATGGACGAAGTTCGTTTTTAAACAATATACAATGGAAAAACATGAAAGAATATGGATGAACATAAATTCAGAAACATTGGTTCACATGACCGTTTCGTGGAGAGGAACAAGGGTATATGGTTGACATGATATCGGTATGTTTTAACAACCTTACATCTGGTGGTTAGGGGACAGAATTACTGAGTGTTCATGAAACATGAAACACTTGAATATCAATAGTAAAATCAGTTACATACATAGTGATTTAGATCAAGCATTTTATAAGAAACATTTTCAGTATAAACAGGACATATTTATACTTGAAGACAACAGAATAAAAACATTGAAAATGTATGATAGTAATAAGGGTCAGATTAGCGTGTTCTACGGTTACTTTGTCAATGTCGGGCACAGGGCAGGTTGAAGTACTTGTGATATAAGAACACATGGCTTTCGTGGTCTTCGAGGGGTGAGCAGCGAGGGGAGCAGGTCACTAGAATCGGGCGGGTAATCCCACAGCACTAAAAGCAAATCTGATATCAGAACAAATATACATCGAGAAGTGCCGTCATTCCTCTGGTGCTGACTATTACGAATTATCAATAATAAATAGAGCGAACAGTAATTTGTGTACTGCAGGTCGTGTCCTCGGTAATTTTCACAGCAGTTTACGTTAAAAAATCCTTGGCAAGTTTGACCATGACGTTACTCCCTTTGAGAATAGTGACTCTGAGGTGTCGGGCGTACGATGACTTAAAAGAAGGAAGTAAAGAAGGTGT